TATATTGGGTTCTAAGTGCTTAATTCCTATTTTGGCCTGCGTGTCCTCTGTAGCAATTCTAGCGCTTTTCCACTTAGTAATATATTAAAGTGAGAACTAGCTATATTGTCCTCACATGTAACATGGAGTTACTCTGATCCTTAGTGTTTTCCCTCACGTCTCACTGCCTTCCTGACCAGCCCCAGTTTACTGAAACAAGAAACAAAGCACATCATTTATTTTCATTCATTGATTAGCAGCAGCATCTTCATATTGTCCCAAAATAAATGACTTGCTTTGTTGTAAAAATGTAAAGTACTCATTCCAGAACACCCAACTTATCAGAAAAGTAGAAAGAAGCTCACAACACATAGGTGCAAATCTACCATCTGGAGATGACCACAGTTCACATTTTGCTGTGTGTGCATCCAGGCACTGAAACCACGCAGAAACTTCATTTCTTTAATGTGACCTTTATTCCTTTCCTTTTTTTAATTAATTAATTAATTTTTTAATCCTCGTCGGAGGACATTTTTCCATTTTTGTTCAGATACAGTGGGAGGGAGAGAGAGAGAAAAAAAAAAACATTAACGTGAAAAGGACATATCTAGTGGCTGCCTCCTGCAGGACCCCAACCAAGGGGGGGGGGCAATCTGCAACTGAGGCTCGAGTCCTTAGCAGGAATCACACCTGGGTTTCTCTGGTCCCTGGGCTGATGCTCTAACCGCTGAGCAAAACTGGCCAGCGCTTTCCTTTTGATTTAAACTAGCCTTGTCCAACCTCGGAGCACCCTGACTCACCTGTCTGTTTCTTTATTGCACGTCCACTCCCTAAATCACTAAGCCCTCAGGAAAATGAGGTTCTTGTCAGCATCAAATAATCTTAGGAACAAAGGCTCGAGTCTGTTGACTACAGAGACAGAGTTTCAGTCAAACTAAAGAAAACATGTGGGCCACAGTTGTGGTTCAAGTCCAGACCCAGAAAAAGCAGAATGACCCCACTGAACCATATCTTTGTGAAACCATACAGATTAATGCCATGACTAAAATCAGGACCAGATGCAATGATCAACTACCCCATACCTTAGCACCAACCAATCAATTGAGACCACGACCCCAACTCCACCATGATTAATTAATTTCCTCCTATATAACCTATCCCCTACAAACCATCTGGGAGCCAGGTCTTAGATAACAGCTCACCTGTGACTCCAGGTTTGTCATCATTTCCTTACATAAACCTTTAGTTTCTTTGCTGCCAACTCCTATGTGTGTTTGGGCTTTAATGTGCACAGGCGAATGAACCCCTTTAGTTCAGTAACAGCACCTCCATGCATACCCTGACATAACTGAATCCAGTGTTATTTAAATGAACCCATTTAAATGGATCATTGTATATGATCTCTTTAAATAAAAGTGTTGTTCTATAACTTGCTTTGATTAAATAATGTCATTTTTCTGTGTCACTAGCAATTTCAATTTCTTTGAACAGTTACATAATATTCCCTTGTATAGCTGTGTATATACACCATAATTTAGCTAAGTGTATTCTATTAACCCACCATCCAGATTGTTTCTATCTTTTTGCTATTATGATAAACATTGCAAAGATCGATTTGTATAAACATTTTATATTCTTGTCTCCTTAGATTGAAATCTTAGAAATGTATTTTTTACATTTAAATCCTTCATCCATTTGGAAAATGTTTCTGTGTATAGTGGGAGCTTATTCTCTTTTTTTATATGGTCAGTCAATTGTTCCAGTACCATTTATTGGAATGTGGATCCTTGCCCCACTGATTTGAAATGACTGTCATCATATATTAATTTCCTATACAAATGGGTCTCTTCTATTTCTAAACCAATGTTGCACTGTTGCCATTACTATACCAAGTTTCCAGGTAATGGTTTTAGACTTGAAATCTGGTCAGGGTTCTCCAGAAAATAGAACAAATAGGATATATAGAGATAGATATAAAGAGGAGTTTATTATGGGACTTGCTTCACATGGTTATGGAGATGGAGAAGTCTCACAATCTGACATCTACAAGCTGGAGAACCAGGAAAGCTGGTGGTATAATTCAGTATGAGGCTCTAGGTGTGAGACCTGGGGTGAGGGTTTGCTGCGGATGTAAGTCCCAGAGTCTTAAGGACAAGAACCATGAGCTCTGATCTGAGGGCAGGAGAAGATAGATGTTCTATTTGAAGAAGAAAGAGCAAGAATTTGTTTTTCCTTGACCTTTTTGTTCTGTTTGGGCCCCCAACAGATTGGATGATGCCCACCTACTTTTGTAAGGGCTATCTTATTTAGCCTATGGATTAAAATGCTTATCTCTTCCAGAAATACCTTCACAGATGCACCCAGAAATAAGGTTTTGGCAGCTATCTGGGCATCCCTTAGCTCAGTCAAGTTGGCACATAAAATTAAGCATCACAACCTAGAACCCCCAATTTCTGTAACCATCTGCCTGTCACTGCTGGGATAAAAGTTGCTGCAGAGGCCATTCTGTACACTGTATACTTCAGTGACATTGCTCTGCAGGATGACACATGGAGGGTCCTCATGTTAGCTTGCCCCGATTTGCACTGGAGTGAGTGCTCTATAAACATTAGGTTTCAGGAACTGGCACTCAAGAGTTAGCTGAAGAAAAGGTGGGTTTATTATAAGGATACAATATAAGATTTCAACAGTATGACAGAATCACATCTTTCATTGCCCTTAGTTTGAGGTATGAGGAATACACAATGCCTATTTTCCCAGCCTGGATTCTGAAACAGTTGAGAAGATAAAAGAATAAGAAAGATGGCAGACAAAGAAAATATATACCTTTATTTCTGATAAAGCTGAGATTGAAGAATGTGGCTTATATCTGCAGGCAACTAGGCTTCTAAATATTACACCTGAAGCTTAGGCAGACTTTATTCAGATATCCCTGGCTGTGCTGGACCCCTGCAGGCCACCACCATGGGGGTTGGCCCGTTTCATAGAGGCAAAAAGTAAAAGAGGACACTTGCTTTCTGTGGGCAGGCTGATTCCCAAAAAGGAAGGAGAGGGACAGGGCTTCAGCTATGCAAGCAGTTTCTGCTTTCATGTCCACCAATCAGATTAAGTTGTTTGCTTTCCGGGGTGGTGAAGTAACAATTTTATTTGTGTAAACAGATACTTCTGATATATATGCTAAGAACTTCATAAATATTTTCTTTTACCTCTTGGGTACATTATTTTTGTTTTTCTTTCTTGTTTACATATAATGATATCACTCTATTTCTTTTTGTGCTTTCAGGGAGTTGTGATTTGTTGGTAAAAAGCATTTTTTTTAAATTGAGGTAACATTGGTTAATAACATAAATTTCAGGTGTACAACATTATAATTCGATATCTGTATTCTCTATTGTGTGCTCACCACCAAAAGTCTAGTTTCCATTCATTACCATTATTTATCTTTTTAAAGTGTGGATTTAAATTGTTATATTTGGTTGAATGGGTCTTTGAGTGAAAATTAATACTAGCTCACATAATTGCAAGAAATGCTGGGATTTTAATTGCAGATTGCATTTTTTGGTTCACTTATTTAATAATGATTAAATAGAATTTTGAAGTGAAATTTCCAAGATTAAACAGGATAAATACATTAAGCTTTAAAGAAAACATTGGGATAGCTGGCGTATGAGAACTTCATCCAATACATAAATGTTCAAAGTTGTCACCCATAAGCCTGTGGCAGGGAGCCCACTTGTGGTTTATAGACAAACACGATTTTACGCACACCTTTCAGAACTGTTCAGGCTGATTAGAATTTCTTGTAGGAATCACAGATGAACTTCATAAAGGTGTTCAAAATGAGCAAAATGGATAGTCAAATCTAAATAGAGTTGTACAGAGACAGCTACTACCCTGATACACATGCACCATTTTAAGCTTTAAGTATTAAAATTGTATATTTCGGATAACAATGTTACCATGTCCCTGGGGTGATTTAAAATTCTTTCTAAGTAATTGAATGTCTTTTAACCTTTGTGTGCTAGAATAATTACAGTAGCTTTAAAAATGAGAATTTTAGAGTTGCTTGAATTTTCCTTTTAGTAAGATAATGAAATAAGGACTTGATTTTCTACTGCTATTTCAAGCTGGTGGACATCCTGTTCTACCAAGAGATACTGTGATTGTAGAGGCTCTTGGGAAAGTTTTGCTCCTCATATAGAATGCCTACCACAGCTGACTGCTGATTTTCTGATCTATTTTTTTTTAGATCAGTGCTGTCAAATAGAATTTTCTTTAAAGATAGAATGTTCTATAATCTATGTTGTCCACTGTGATAGCCACTGGCCACACGGGCCTATTGAGCATCTGAAATGTGACTAGTACAATAGAAGAGCTGAATTTTAAATTTTGTTAAATTTAAATTATTAAACTTAAACAGCCACACACGGTTAGTAGCTACTCTGTTGAAGAGCTCACAGTTTATTTTCACTTTTGGATTTAGTAAGGACCTGCCTCTGGACAAGTTGACTTTAATTCATATGATTTCATTTGATATGTTTTACAAACATTTGTTGAGTACTTAGTGAGTTTGTGTGCCTAATGTCAGAAATACATTTCCTTTAGAATTCTCAAGTCAACTTTCAGGTCAATCATTCCACACACCTGGTCGAATATGGCTTTGGTCACAGGGTCCCTGTTGTTTCAACAGAAGCTGCTTGTCTTTTCCCCTGAGCTCTAGGACCCACTGTGGTAGGTCCATGGCCTGTGGGGCTAAGGGGTTAAGTGGGGGCTCCTCTCACTGGGCTGTGAGCTCTTCCATTCCCAGGTCTCCCTCTTCCACTGGAAAGGGCTCCTATGTGATATTATCTCAAAGACGTTGTGTGAGGTAGCACAGCCCTTTCACTGAGATTCATTCCCTCGGCTAGCCCTACTGTCTTAGTTGTTCCTGAAACTTTCCTCAACACATTTTCTATGGGAAAAGGAAACAACTCTACACAGATATCCAACAGCTACTTTTCCTTCTGCTTGTTTTTTCAAAGGTATCTTACCTCCTGGAAGGGGGCAGCATGGCCCATGAAGACTTCTGTGGACATGTTGGTCAGTTGAACCCAGGAGACCTGCAGGTATGTGTGGCCAAGGACAAGGGATTGCTGATGGTTTAATAGTCTTTCAATGTGTATACTTGATCTGCCCACTGCTAGTACACTCACACTTTCTTCCCTGTCTCATTTCTTTTACCTCTCTCTTTCTATGGATCCTTCCACACATGCTGGAAACTTGCATAGGTCTCTTGTATTCTTCTTTCATACTTTTCTTGATCCCCTCAATCACTTTTTAGCTCTCACCTAGTCCTTCTCTTAACATTTCTCAAAAAAGTAATCAACAGTGACTGTCTCAACTTCCTTTATCTTCCATTTCATCCTTCACTCACTAAAATCAGTGTTGGCCTCTCAACAACCCCCAAACATTTACTAAAGCTGTTCAGGTAATGGCCACACATGATGTCCCAATTGCCAAATTCAGCATTCCAGTTTTAGTCATCATCTTTATAGACTGTTCTGCTATATTTGAAACAGTTTACTACTTATCTTCCAGCTCATTTGAAGGCTAGGTGTTGTCACTTAAGACAATGACCCAAATCCTGCCACCATCCTAGTCTTGTCTGAAATGCATTCGAATTAAAAATCTCCAGGAAATGCTTGGGTAATCTTTACAAGTTTTGTAAGTCTGAACTTTTTATCAGCTACTTTCTAGGATTATTTACATATTTGGCAGATTGATAACTACAAATATTTGACTCATGGTGTTTTAATGAACATGGAATCTGAAGGCAAAAAAAAGCAAAAGGAAAGAATTGTAGCCAAAAGTTAACAGTAACCTTTCACTAGAGCAGAACATAAAATGGAAATGGCCTTGAAAGTTCTATAGATTACTGGTTGTGACCTGACCAGGGAAGTGGAGATTTTTCTGCCCTCCATGCAACAATTCTCAAGTATGTCTGTATGGATCCCAGTGGGATTGAGCTCCAGGTACTCACAGATGTAACCTGTTCGTTAATCCGCCTTTTGGCTTTCTCTCTTGCTTAGCTCACTCTTCCCTACTTTTCCCTACTTGTGCTTTCTGCGTCACTTTCCAAATAAACTACCGGCACTGAAATCTTTGTCTCAAGATCTTCTGTGGAAGAACCCAAGCTAAGACAGGCAAGAAGTCTATCATGTTCCATTTCTTCATCCCTAATATGCTTTTAATAAACAAATAAACAAATGCTTGAAGAATCTGTACAACAGTAGAGGCAATGACTGTTTTTCTTCTAAGTAGTGAGGGCTTCATTACTGGAATTGAACAAGCAAAGACTCAAGTCACTTATCCACGGTATAGTGGATACTGTGGGCCCTGCACATGTATCTTTAGATCCTCACACTTATCCATTCTCTAGCTGCTGGGAATATGGGCTGTTAATGACTCATAGCTGCATCCCACTCTGGGTATTACCCTGTGCAGCAGGAACTGCCTCTTTCAAGGGTGTGCTCCCTACTGGGGGGTGGCACACAGTCACTGTAGGGGATAAAAAAAAAAGCCTGGCTATCTCACCTTAATTTGGGACAATTCTGAAGATTTATCCAACTCCAGATCTCCTGCTAGATTGGCTAAGGCCTTGGTTGTAGCCACATTGTTGACTGACTTCTCCCCCTGCCCAATCATGCTTTTTTTTTTTTTTTTTTTTTTTTTACTTATTAAGATGCTCTCAAGAGCACTCCTCAATATACTATTCGCCAGCATCTCCCTATCTTAGTGTTCAATCGAAGGCTCAGGGATACCAAAGAGAGGCTTCTATGTGAATTTCAGATCTGATGCTTTGATTTCAAATGGGAAGCATAGATGCATTGGGAAAACTAGAAAGGGTTCTGGCAGTTGTCATTGTTGTTTTCTTATTCCTTATGATGCCCCAGGACTGTGAAAGAAGCACTTATAAGGTACCTCACTCAGTTACTATGTCATATGGTCCCACCTGCAGACTTGTTTGAGTCTGGGTTACATTTCCTTTTTGTTGGTCTGATGTTTGCAGTGGATGACCGCGGGCCGGGGCATTCTGCATGCGGAGATGCCATGCTCAGAGGAGCCAGCCCATGGCCTACAACTATGGGTTAATTTGAGGAGCTCAGAGAAGATGGTGGAGCCTCAGTACCAGGAACTAAAAAGTAAAGAAATTCCTAAACCCAGTAAGGATGGTGTGACAGTTGCTGTCATCTCTGGAGAAGCCCTGGGAGTGAAGGTAAGCCATGCTGCTGTGTTTGTGAAAGCTGAGGCACTCAGTGACATAAGTCTGGCTCCCTCTGTGTTGTCAGTTCTCACTGGGTTTATCACAGTTCATGTACCATAGGATGGACTTGCTTCAGAGGTGTCAGAATAAGTGGAACCTTAGGGGACCCAGAATTTTTTTTTTTTTTTGCTACATGCAAACTCAGAGAGTTAAAAAAAAATATAAGAAAGCAAGTTCATGTTAAAAAATTGGTCAAAAAGCAATTTTCAAGGTATTGCTGATTTAGCCTCTTTCCTTTTGCTTATCATGTCATTTTATATCTCCTTGGAACTGCACGATCACCATTGTTAAGAAACAAACCAAAATCAAAACCAACTCCACTCCCTGAAGATTTATTTAAATTATTTATGCCTAACTTAGGAAAGAAAGCACACGACTGCATCATAGAAATGTTTTTAAAATTAATTTGAACATTTGGTTATCTCATACATATCATACCCTGTACATTCTTCTCAACTAAGACTAATATTTCAGCTTAGGGTCCCACCATTTTAATCAAATAAGACCAATTGAGGATAAAGATTATGCACATATCTGTGGTAGGAAAAGGATATGTTAAAGACGATGTTAATTGCGTATCAGAACTGCTGCTGGGGAAGCCAAGTTTAAAGTAAGGGCCATCTGGGGAGTTAGCTGCATAGCATAGTCTCTTAGGTAGGGTTTCCCAGAATCAAACTGAAGATGAGAATTCATGTGCAACTGATTTTAAAGAAAGTAACCCTAGGAGAATAGAAAAATGAGTCAGGCAGGGAGCCAAGCAAGGGTATCATCTCAGGTAAAGTCCCAAAGAGGATGGGGACTCAAGGATCAGCTGACCTCGGAGTTGTCCCCCTGACCCCCAGGGATAGGCAGCTGGGCTTTCATGCTCCCTTACCCCAAGTCATTACGCATGGCCATTGAGTTTGGGTTGGGGGGGTCACAAAATGGTTAAAAGGGATCTAAGGGGACCTCGAGGGGCCCTGATACCCAGTTCCACACATGCCAACAGGAGTTGAAAGCATCAATAAGTTAGAAACCACTTTGCCATTCTCCCCGTGGGTAGCCAGCACTTAAAACTCTTTTATGCCTGGCCAGTGTGGCTCAGTGGATTGAGCATCATACCATGGACTGAGAGGTCACTGGCTCAATTCCCAGTCAGGACACATACCCAGGTTGTGGGCTCAGTCCCCAGTAGGAGGTGTGCAGGGGGCAGCCGATTGATGTTTCTCTCTCACATTGATGTTTCTCTCTCTCTCTAAAAAAAAATTAATAAAAACATATTAAAAAACTATTTTATATACTAATTTATTTAAATTTTGTTCAGATACATCCACAGGGACAATGGCTTGGCAGTGGTTACTAGCCAACCACTCAGTGGGGTGCATTTCATGGGTAACAGGTTGCTCATGCTTATTGGTTGGGACTTACCGGGATTCTATATTTCCTACACTATAACCACAATTCTTTACCTGTACCAGGCCTAGGCATGTGTATTATTTTGCTTTGTGTTTCCAGTGCAAACAGAAGTAATTGAAGGTAAAAGAATCAAAATGTGCTCCCTACTGAGCGTATATATGTGCCTGCTTTCTATGAGTACTTTGAAGTTGGAAACATGACCCTTCATCGTGTTTCTGACCCATTTCTGTTTCTCCAAGCATTGGGCAGTGCCCTTTCCAGCTGTATAGAAAGAGTTTCCTTCCCTTCAGTGCCACAGAGGACAATTCAGATACTGTGTGGTCTTTCTGGTGTAAGGCAAGGGATGTTGCTGTGTGTCGAATCAGTCAGGGAGGTCTAAGGAGAACTGATTTCGTGCAGCTGAGAAGTTGCTTGCCCTGTTTCCTATGAGGCTTTTCGCTCTGTGTTTCCAGGTCTCTAATATTCTAGGTACATGTCAAGAGATATCTTCCTTTGCACTTCAACCAAAGCATAAGGCTTTGTGGAATTGTCCTTAACATTTCCTTTACAAAAAGAGTCGAGCTGTCTGCAGCTAAAAAGAGAAATGAAACCACAGTTTTAATAGGTAAGCTAAACCAGCAATATCACGACTCCTCAGAGTTCACAACTGCTTCTCACTTATAGAAAATCCAATGCGTTTTTCTTTTGTTTTTTTTTAATCCTCACCCGAGGACATTTTTCCATTTTTTGTTCAGATAGAGTGGGAGGGAGAGAGAGGAAGAGAGAGAGAGAGAAACATCGATGTGAAGGGACACATCGAGTGGCTGCCACCCGCACGACTGACCAGGGCCGGGGACAAACTGCAACCGAGGTACGTGCCCTTAGCGGGAACCGAACCCGGGTCTCTCTGTACCGCAGGCCGACGCTCCAACCGCTGAGCCAAACCGGCCAGGGCTCCAATGCGGTTTTAATGTCAGAGCCAATTCCAGTTACAGGCACAAGGACATTTTAAAGCACTTCCAAGCAACAGACTGCATAACCTTGCAGTCACAACCAAGAATTAGAGACCAGAGGTAATGTTTTAACTTTGTAAAATAGTATCTTAGTAGCTTCTTGCCTGTAATTTTTAAAATTTTTGTTGAGTAAAATCTTTTAAGTGAATTACATTCTCCTAAGTCAATGATTAGTTTTTATTATGAGAACGTTTTAATAAGAAACTCTTGCAACCCTGTTTAGTATTAATTTGAATTTTGAGAGATAATGTGTTGCTATGGGTACCAGCATGGACCTGTGATAGATGGCCTGGATTAGAATCCCCAACATGAAATAGCTGTGTGACCTTGGGCAAGTCACTTAACTACTCTGTGCTTCAGCATTCTGATCCATCAAATAGGATTGCTGAGAGGATTAAGTGAGCTTTTTATACATCAAGCTATTAAAACAACATCACATACATTGTAAGCACCATATAAGTAGTAGCTGTTACTACTGTTATTTTGATTACTTTGTGTTAACTTGAGCAGGAGCTAGGCTGAGTTTTATGTTTGCTGTCTATGCTAGAGAGACTTGCTGGGATTTGGTAAAGGTAGTTGATCCTGCATGAGCCACCAGCATGAGTCAGTGTAAAGATGGGGGGACTATTGACCATTTTTTCTGGGTCACATAAAACCATAGTTTTCTATGTCTGAAGTCTTAATATCTGCTCACTGAGGAATGACTGGATCTTGAAAAGTCTAGATGTACCATAAAACAAACTGAAGATAATATTATGTTAACTTACCAGGTCGGGCTGAGAATATACCTTTCAAGAGATTGATGTGTTTATAACTAATGTAGTCAACCCCAACTTCTATTCCCACAACTATAATATCTAGAAAATGGAATTAGTGACCATTCCAGTGCTTCTCCAACTTCAAAATTCATGATTATCTAGGTGCCTGTTAAAATGCAGATTCTGATTCAACAGGTCAGGGTGAGGCCTGAGCATCTGCATTTCTAACTGCTCCCAGGTGATGGTGAGGCTGTGGTCTGGGAGCCACTATTTGTAATGTGTGTAATGACCATGACATCCAAGAAAGGGGTCTTACTCATCATGAGGGTCAGTTTGATTATGACCCTACAGAAGATGTTAGGGACCAGCTCTGTGGCTTTTGGAAAATCTTATTTAACCTTTCTGGACTTCATTTTCTACATCCACAAAAAAGGTGAGGGGGTTTTGTGCAAGATGCTGTTAGCTTTTGCAAGCAACTCAGCTGTCCTTTTGATAGTCCCAGAGATAGCTGCGTCCCTGTTTCTCAGTTTGTATGTGTTTCAGCCCTTGGGAAGCCACAGCCAATTTTGAGCAAGATTCTGCCAGAAGAGCACGGTCTAAAGTGAAGGCTGAAAGAGGGGAGGGATAAAGATGGGATACTTAGAATAGTTTCTGTCACTTCTGGAAGGTCAAAATCACATGTTTATTTCATGAGAGTATGAAATCCTCCAAACCCCATTCCATCCTTATCAAGCAGCCAATCAGCAATATTTACTGCCAGTTCTCTCTGGAACATCATTCTTTTTCCAACAAACGCCTCTACTTGCCTCCTGCTGTTTTAAATTCCATTATGTCAGAAGCAAACCGTAAGGAGGCCTCAGCCCCACTGGGGTCAGAAAAAGACAATCTGGAGCCAGACTGCCTGGGTTCAAGGCCAACTCCACCACTGACGAACTTTAAAGAAGTTACTTAAGCCTGCTGGGCCTCAGGGTACTCATCTGTAAAATGGAGGTACCTATAATGACTCAGAGGATCATTGGGGGGATTAAATTAGTTAATACCTGTACAGAACTTAGAACAATACCTGGCTATTCTTTTTACTTCTTTGCAAAAACATTGTACAGTGTTCGTGTGGCCTACAGATGTAACAAAAGGCTCTTCTGAAGGACAGACTGTATATTCACATATCGGATGCTAACCAAAAGTTTAAAAATTCAGTTTCCAAAACACTTTACCAAGCATCTCATGTAATTCACTCAGATCCTGTTACCACAGTGCCCCCAGCACATGAATCAGTGCCTGATACATACAAGACAATCAAGAAATATTTTCTGGGTCCATAAGTGAAATCATTAAAATGTAAACGAATACTGGAATGAGAGAAATGAGGGCAAAGTAGTAAGATAAAATAATATAGGGATTAAGAATGACTGCATTGCCCTGGCTCAGTGGTTAGAGTATCGGTCTGCAGACCAGAGAGTCCTGGGTTCGGTTTCCGCTAAGGGCATGTACCTTGGTTGCAGTTTGGCCCCGGCCCCGGTTGAGGTTGTGTGGGTGGCAACCAGTCGGTGTGTCTCTGTCACATCAATGTTTCTCTCTCTTTCTCCCTCCCTCTCTCCCTCCTGCCCTATCTGAAGATAAATGCAAAAATGTTCTCGGGTGAGGATAAAAAAAAAAAAAAAGAAGAAAAAGAATGACTGCATTAAGCTTACGATGAGCTAACTTAAGAGTTGAGAGAACAATACAATTAGCTAAATTATATTTTAAAATAAAATAAACTATTTAAGGGATTAGAAGTAGGGGAATAAAAACCAGATTGATATTTTTT